TGTTTCTCAAAATGAGCATGAATCTCCTAAAACTATAACTAGTGATTATGATCTGCCTATTACCATTAGGAAAGGAACCAGCTAATGTACCAAGCATCCACTATACCCAATCTCTAATTTTGTGTCATTTGAAAAATTTTCACCATTCCACAAAAATTTTCTTGTGAGCCTAAACACTACTTCTGCTCCAACTATATTATCCGAGGCATTATCCAGTGAGAAATGGAGGCAAGCCATGAAAATAGAAATGGAGGCCTTAGAGAAAAATCAGACATGAGAACTGGTAGAGTTGCCTACAGGAAAAAATCCAGTGGGGTGTAAATGGGTTTTCACTGTAAAATACAAGGCAAATGGTACTATTGAAAGGTATAAAGCCAAGTTAGTGGCTAAGGGCTACACTCAAACCTATGGAGTGGATTACCAGGAAACCTTTGCTTCAGTTGCCAAGATGAATACAGTTAGGATTTTGTTATCATTAGCTGCAAATTACAATTGACAGCTTCAACAATTTGATGTAAAGAATGCTTTTCTACATGGTGATTTGGAAGAAGAACTATATATGAAGGTTCCATCAGGATTTGGAGGTCATCTAGAAGCAAACAAAGCATGCAGGCTGAAAAGAGCTTTATATGGCCTTAAACAATCTCCTAGAGCTTGGTTCGGGAGATTTGCCAAAGTGATGTTAGCAATGGGATATAAACAGAGTCAAGGAGAGCACACATTGTTTATCAAGCACTCTGATTCGAGGAGAGTCAAGTTCTATTAGTGTATGTTGATGATATAATTGTAACTGGAGATAATGAAAAAGAGAGAGAATCTCTAAAACAGTGTTTGGCTAGAGAATTTAAGATAAAAGAGCTAGGGAGATTGAAGTACTTCCTAGGAATTGAAGTAGCTCACTCACGACATGGTATTTTCATCTCACAACAGAAATATGTGATGGATCTTCTAAAGGAAACTGGGAAGCTTGCATGTAAACCTGCAAATACCCCTATAAATCCTAATCATAAAATTGGAGAAGCTAATGAAGATGCTACTGTAAATAGAGAGATGTACCAAAGATTAGTTGGAAGACTCATTTATCTCTCACATACTAGACCTGATATAGCATATGATGTGAGTGTGGTAAGTCAATTTATGCATAGTCCTAAAGAAGTGCACCTACAGGCTATCTACCGTATATTGCACTATTTGAAGGCCAATCCTAGGAGAGGTATCTTATTCAAAAGAAATTCGAGGTTAGTTCTAAAAGCATATACAGATGCTGATTATGCAGGTTCAGTAACTGATAGAAGATCCACCTCAAACTACTGCACTTTCTTAGGTGGTAATCTTGTGACTTGGAGGAGTAAAAAACAGAATGTGGTGGCAAGATCAAATGCTGAAGCAGAGTTCAGAGCAATGGCTCAAGGAATTTGTGAACTACTATGGTTAAAGATTATCCTAGAAGACTTGAAGATCAAGTGGGATGGACCAATGAGACTACTGTGATAACAAGTCTGCAATAAGCATTGCACACAATCCTGTGCAACATGACAGAACAAAACACATTGAAGTAGACCGGCATTTCATAAAGGAGAAACTAGACAGTGGGTTGATTTGTACACCTTATGTATCAACCAAGGGTCAACTTGCAGATATGTTGACTAAAGGTCTCAGCAGTGCAACATTTCAAGAAATTATTTCCAAGCTAGGAATGGAAAACACCTATTCACCAGCTTGAGGGGAATGTGGGAAAACACTTATTTACAGCTGGTTGTAATCTTGTAATCTGTATATTTATATTTGTACCTCTAGAATTAAGTATTTGTATCCCTAAAATTAGGATAGACAATCCCTCAATTATAGAATTAGTTTTTTAGGAAGATTTAGTTTCCTAGTTTAACCCCTAGTTAGTTGTATATAAACCTAAGATTCTTGTATAATTCAAAAGAAGCAGTTTTTCAATATACATTCAGTTTCCACACTGATTTATTTCTTAGTTTTTTCACATTTATCAAATTCAAGCTCCATTTTGCTCTATGCTACATAAACTTCAGGTTGCCCAAAAACATAAAAAGTTTTGAGGATGTCACACACCAATTGAAATAGACAGTGCCACAAAAACAAACTGACAGGACATGTAAATCGAAAGGAAGATCTCAACATGCAAAATGGCAAGAAAAAGTTAATATATGTTCTAATTCAATGGAGCAATATGAAGAAAGAACAAAAAGCCATTAGACATCTCGAAGGAATGACTACAGCATAATATTTAAGAAAAACAGTAAAAATGATAAATCATCCACATCAACAATGTACTCAGAAATAATTTATTTAAAAAGAGTAAGAAAATACAAAGTGATCTATTAATATCTTCACTCCTGTAAGGTTATACAGTTACCTCCTGACTGCGATTCACAACACCTATGTAACCAAGCCTAAGGGGAATCACTTTTCCAAGCAACAGGTTACGAGCATCAGTACCTCTGTCCATTATATCCAACTGATTAAAATACAAATAACTAATCAGAAACCTAGAACAGCTTATATATAAGTCATGTCATAATTTAAAAAGGAGATTTTCACGTTCAAGATGCACCTTTGTGATTACACCAATGGTTCTATAGCCTGCCCAGCAGAAAATTAGCAAAATGATTCAATTAAATATACATTAAAGAGCAACTGAATGCAGAAGTTGGGATTCTGATAGTAGAAATTACCATCAGGATCAGCATTTCCAGCAATTTGAAGCGCATCAGAGTTTGCTAAGTCTGAATTTGCAGGAGTAACAGCTAGAATCAGACAGCTTGGCTGTTTAATGTACGACATGATCATTGTTCTAATTTGAGCTTCAATGTCAGAGGGCTGGTCACCCACAGGAACCTTTGTGATTCCAGGAAGATCCACAAGAGTGATATCAAGAACATTTGGTGAGAAAATCTTAAGTCGAATCTGCTTGTCTGACACACCTTTGTTTCCTCCAGCCTCCCTATCTGTCTCAGCCTGCAGTCCAATTGAGATTTACTTAGCATAGGGGCATTTTTTAATACCTAAAAAAAGAAAAAAAAAATCAATGCCACAAACATTCTTTCTTGATCTCATAAAACCTATTATAACTTGCAAGCAATAAAAGGCTAGAGTTTGTCAGAGAGCCAAGGGGAGAGAGAAGAAATCTAGCTACGATCCTTAACCAAGAACATGTAAATTAAGTAATCCTCTTTCCACTCGCTGTAACTATCCATCTAAGCCTAAAAACTCCAACATAGTGAATTTCAATATTATTGTCACAGAAAGCCTAATTATTCCTTTTGGCAAGCTCTCAATTTCCCTAATCACGACTATTGTGCCAGCACCAAATGCATCTTTATTATTTCACATTCATCTAAATATATCTTTCTTGCTTCCAAGTTTATCTCACAATTTTAAAAGTTCTTAAGCAACCAGTCAGCAAAGGAAAATTCAAAAATGCCTAACTTAACAAAGTACATGCTAAAAAACCTACCTTTTTGAATTGAAGAATCAAAATGCCTAACTTTTGAACTTCGCAATCATAAAAAGCGAGCAATAAATAACCTGAATCTCCCTGCGAATCTCAGTGAAGTCATAGAAGCGCTTGCCAGGCAAGTGAAGAAACTCGCCATACTCCTCCTCTGAACCGTCAGGTTTACGCTTGGTCTGGAGGAGCTGGAGGACGAGAGGACGTCGCGTGCAGATATCGGAACCGCGAGGCAAGAAGTCGCGGCCAACGAGTGACTCAAGCACGCTGGACTTGCCACTACTCTGGTTTCCAACCACCGCGACCTGCGGCAACTTTATGGTGGACTGGCTACCAAGCTGAGCGAAGATGTCCTGTAGCTTGTTCACTATCGGTATAACGGAAGATCCCAATGGAGCTGCAGATGATTGAGGCGGCGTCGATGCTGCTGCTGCTTCTTCAGCCATTAAATTTCAATGATTAATTGAATTATAAAAAATATCAGAGATAAAACTTTCTGAGCCCTAGGGTTTTGGAACTATTTTCCTTTTTTTTAAATCAGAGAGGAGCCTTTTTTTTTACTAAAGTTTCTGGAAAGAGAAGGAGATGTCGTAGCTTTGCCTTTCATTATACGAATAAAAGAGCAAATGTAATTGATGTTTTGAAAATTTTTTGAGTTTTTTAAAAAAAATATAATTAGGGTTGAGTAAAAAGTTGGTTTGATCATTTAAAAAAATTAATAACTAAATTAATTAATTTTTTAAAAATAAATAATTAAATTGATAAAAAAAATTTTAAATAATCAATTATAATTGAATTGTTTAAAATTAATTTGGTTCGATTGATTTTATTAAATGATTAAATTTTTTATTATTTTTTTATGAATAATTATTTAATTAAAAATTTAATTTAATAAAATTTAAATTTAAATATTATTTAAATTAAATAATAATAATTTAATAATTTTAATAACATTTTACCCAAAAAAATATAAATAAAGATATTCATTTTAATTTTTTAATTTTTATTATTTATTAAAAAATTAATTAATTTGATCAATTTAATTATTAATTTTATAAATAAAAAATTGATTGATTTTATTAATTTAATTAATTCAAAAAATTAATTATAATCAAAATCGAATAAATCAAATCAAAGTGATCATTTTTCATGAACTTAAATCAATTAAATTGATTTGGATAAATTGATTTAAACTTATTTTTCTCACTTCTAAATGTAATTATCTTAGTATTTTTTTTAATATTATAGTATTTTTTAAACATTATAGTATTGTTTTTAAATATTATTATTATTATTAATAGAAAAGAAAAATTATGAGATTTTCTATTTTTATAAAAAAGAAAAAAATTATTTGTGCGAAAATTTTGAAACTTAAAAAAAATTTATCAGGTTCATTGTCACTTCTAGAAGGTCTGATATTGACAGTTAGGATTTAATAAAAATTACCTAAAAAAATTTTGAACAATAATTCAGTCTTATTTTGTAACGTATACAACTAATATCTTTCTGTCCATGCACCGCCGGTGTCTATAAAAGAGAATTTCCACACATTCATCTAAACCCACAAAAATCTGTAACTGTGCAGACAACATTCAACATGCCTCGCCGAAGTTCTGGTTAGTTTCTTGTCTCATTTACCCAAAATATTTTTTTTTATCTTTTTCTCTAATTTATTTGTAGTTAATACTATGCTTTTGACCTGATTTTTAGGGTTGGTTTTTATTTTTTGTTTTAGATTTATTTATTTTGATTTTGATAGTTTGTAAGATTCTTTTGTGTTTTTAAAACTAGTCTAATTATTCATTTTCTATCAAAGATGGTGCAAGATTGATTGATATTTGTATGCCATTTGTTTTAACAAGTACCATTTTCTTCTATTTGGTGTTTCTGAAATTTCCATTTCGTTTACATATGTTTTCTTTTTGTTCTTATTATTTTGCAGGAAGGTCTGCTTCTCGCCCAGCCCCTCGTCTTGCTCCTGCACGCAGCCGGCCACATCAATCAGGTACCACTCAAGTTTTAATTTACATAGCACATTAGATAAGAGTTTCACTTGATTAACTTTGATATTTATCGTTTTGATATGAGGGTTGTTGATTTAAAATTGGATTTTGTTGGTAGTTATTTCTTCGATTGAATGTCATGTCTAATTCTATTTAACCCTTTTGCTGCAGCTCAACATGCTCCTCCTCCAGCTCCTGCTCAGAGTGGAAGTGGTAGATCCATGCTCGGAAGCATAGGCTCTACCATAGCTGAGGGTATGTTTGTGCATAGATATCCATCTGAGATGGCTTTATATATATATATATATATATATATGGTTGCTTTGTCATGATACATTATTCTGATTCTTGTTAATTCTTTTCTTTATCTTTGCATTACAGGCATGGCTTTTGGCACTGGAAGCGCCATTGCTCACAGGGCTGTTGATGCTGTGCTGGGTCCTCGGACCATTCAACATGAAACTGTGGTTTCTGAGGCTGTAGCTGCCCCTGCACCTGCGACCACAACTAATAGTTTTGCCGGCTCTGATGCATGCAGCATCCAGTCCAAGTCTTTCCAAGATGTATATGAACTTCACTTTCTGTTGTTTGGTTACTTGATAGTCGAGTAGTTTGTTAAAATATTGGTACGGTTTTTCATGCTGTGGCTGACTGGAACTTTGAATCGAAAGCATGATTCTTAGATTCTAGCAGCTGTTTAATTGTGCTTTCTGGATTTACAGTTTGCCTAATATCTTCTACTTAATTTGGAATGAATCACATAAGGCCCTGGTTTCTTAACTAAATCACGGTTTTGATTCTGAGGTTTTATACTTCTGGTAGATGCCGACATTTCCTATGCTTCATGTTTTGTATTGAATGATGCATAACTCTTTTGGAACTTCTAGCAACAATGATGTCTCTTTTAGAACTTCTAGCAACATTAATGTACTGATATTTTATTGTTCTTGTGTTTCTTGTAGTGCCTGAGCAGCAATGGAAACGACATCAGCAAGTGTCAGTTCTACATGGATATGCTGTCCGAGTGCAGGAAGAACTCAGGATCCATGTTGGGTGCCTAAGTTCAGTCCCCATTTGTTACCGTGAAATGGTGTGTCAGCTATGGATTTTAGTTTCGTTTCTCTTTTGTTGAAGCTGAACTCCGTCAGTGGTCGAATAATCTCTATATAGAGAATACTCCGTCTAAATAGTTTCAATGATTGAACCTTGGTATTATTGAATTTTCGACTAGTTTCCCATCATTTATACCTCCAGTGAGAGGTGATTTTGGATCAAATCAATCAAATGCAATTGAAATTTGATGGTTGCTTATTCTTGCAATGCTTGAACAAATTGTTCTGAGATGATATCTTCTAGTTCAGATGTTATTCTACTCTCTCAGACTCCCTCTTATCGTTCTTTTCTTTGCCCTCCTTTTATTTTGTGGTCTAGTATGGATTGCGGAATATAACAGCTCACACAGAGAATGTAGGGAGGCGTTATTGGGCCAGGCTGAGATGAATTTTCAGTGTGTTTTACATTTACCTATGCCTTATTTTCTGGCCTGCTTAATATATCTATACAATTTATAGAAAATATATAGAAATTAATATCCCAACTAAAACACAGGCTCGCCCATGTCAATTAAAGCTTGAACTTTTTTATTTTTCTGTAAGCTTATATTTAAAACAAATACAACAAAATAAAAAGATATGATTTTTTAAAAAATTTAAAAATCATTTTCAAACAATTCATTTCCCTGAAAAAAGAACACAACATAGACATAAAAACGTCAGAAATTTTTTTTCAAAAGTGAATTTTTTAAAATCATGACCTCAGAAAAAACACAACATAGAAATTAAAAAAAAAATCAACAAATCTGAAATTTTAATAATATTCAATTTTTAAAATAAAACTGTCTCCTAACTCATCATAAACGACCAGACAATAAGAAATTTCAAAAATCACCAAATTTTCCAAAAAATTATAATACAATCACACAGAAGTTAAAAAAGAAAAAAGAAAAAATCCAAACAAATCTGTATATATGGCAATAAATAACACAATACCAAAAAAAGATAAAGAGAAATTACTCAGAAGTAAAAAAAAAAAAATCTAAACAAATATGTATATATGGCAATAAATAACAATACCAAAAAAAATAGAGAGAGAAATTACTCAAAAGTTTAAAAAAAAAAAGTCTAAACAAATATGTATATATAGCGATAAGTAACACAGAGAGAAATTACTAAAGAAAAAGATAAAAATAAAATAAAAAAGATAGGAGCTTTTAGCTTTTCGATAAGGCAACTTAGGGAATACAGAATAGAGAAATGGATATAATATGCTTTTAGGTATTTTAATTAGAAATCAAAGATTTTCGGTGATGACAATGGTAGTAGGGAAAGTGAATTTAGATCTAAGATTTCATAGGTAAATAATTGGTGAAATTGTAAGAAAGATGAAGAACAATTCTTAAGTGTTTGATAGCATTTGATTAATGGAAAGAAGGTGAAAGGCTGTAGCATTAGCGTTTTAAGAAAAAGGGACGACACCGGTAAAGAGAAAGAGGATAGGATGAGAATGAGATAGGGTTTTCAAAGACAAGTTTATGTTAGGTAACCAAACAATGTAGTTTAGGGATTATAAGGGAAGGCAAAAAAATAAAAAAGAAAAAGGTGAATTGGGTTAAGTGTAAACCGACTCAGTGTAACTTGGAGTTATTATTTTTGGATTTAACCTATAAGTTTGTGAGGCATATTTTTTGCTTTTATTTGTCATGTAAAAAGTATATACTTGTTAAAAAATAATTAAAAAAACTTATAAATGAACATATTACTTTAAAAATTAAAGGTAAGAATACAAAATTAAATATAACAATTAATTGAATATATACATTATGTTTTTTAATTTAAAAGTCAATATTTTAAAATAAATATTTTTCTTTTTTGTTACTATTATTATATACTAAATTTCAAACCCATCTTTCCTCTAGGAGAGTAAAATTCAGTTATATATTAGTTTAAACTTAAAAAATGTATAATAAAAGAAAATGTTGTATCCATATTTTTTAGTGGGTTTTATTAGTTTAACCTGTAGGTTATCAAAAAGTTGAAGCTATAATACAATCACAATAGGTATAAATTATGTCTAAGATGAGATTAAGGTATCTAGAAACATACATTATTGAAAAATAAGACATTACAAGTATATAAAATATTAAAAGAAAAAGTAAGGAAGCAAAAAAGTAAAAGATACCTGTAAGTCACATAAGGTTCAAGTAGGTGAAGCACGTTCATTGTTGCTTTGTTCACTTTATGAAAAACATCATTGAAAATCTGCATTCATTAAAAGCAAACACATCAATTTAGATTCAAATTTTAATTATTTATTAGAAAAGTATTAAATAGTTCTTAATACATTCATAACCACCATTTACCTACAATGTTAGGAAGAAAGACCCAGAGTTATTGCGACAATGCAACATCATACCAAAACGTGTAAGTTTGACAATAAGTTCACAATAACTAAACATTAACTTTCAATTTTAAGTTACACTATCGAAATGACAAATTGTCCAAAGTTTCAACAATTTCAAACTATACAAACAACACACTGTAAACAACATTACAATGCGAATAAAGGGCCAGAATACTTACATCAATTACTACTCTAGTGTAGTGCAATACTTCATCTTCATTGGGAGCTCCATTATATTCTACATAATTTTTAAGCTTAGAAGCAAACCCAAGATCTCCAACCTGATTTGGCAATAAATTACATGAGTAAATTACAAGCATGACCTCAAATTTACATAGTTTTAGTCCTATCCTAAAAACTTTGAGTGTGGAAAGAAGAGAACCAACCATATTAACCTAGTGACACTTGCACTTCCTCCAACTAGCATTGTCCAAATGCATCCTTTAGGGTTCAACAATGTAAATTTCAAAGATGCACTTGTCTACAAGAATTTTTTTTCTTAAAGTTAATACCATGCTTCTGAATAAAGCTACTAAATGAATTGCAATGTAGTTTACACCAATTTTATCATAGTTCTTAGATTGTAAACTAAATAGTTAACTAATCATGAAGATTAAATTGAATATTCAAGTTTACTTAAAGATAATATATATGAGAAGGTGATTAATAAATTCGTCATATTTGTCATATGTAATACAGCTTAAGTTTCCACTCTAATTGGGTCATTAGTAAGTAAAAAAAAAGATTTTAGATAAAAGGCTAACCATGTATTAAATCTAGTGTACCTTCTTATCTAGCCAATGAATGTAGTTTTTAGTTGCACTTCATTACTCATCCAAATGGCATTGGAAATTCAATACCATCCTACCTATAGAGAAATGAAATTGATTTAGATGAATTTTATCCTTACTCCGTATTGGCATTGAAACAATAAATAAAAAGAACTACTGATAAAAGGGCATATACTTTTTAAAATTAATGAAAGAAGCAGTGCCATTTAGTTCACCTCTCATTTCCAAAGGATAAGGCTTTCCATTAACTAGTGTGAAATGGTTCATTTCAAGGAAAGTAAAGTCAAGATCGAACATTTTCAAACTTGAAAAAGTTTATGACAAATTCCAAATATTAATTTGAATAGTCTTAGATTCAAAATAAATATATGACATACCTTGACATAGAGTAAAAATCACTTTAATGAACTCATTAATTTATCGTTTAATCTATATTAAAAGAACATAAATTTAGCTTTTATCATCCCTTAAGTACCAAAAAAAATGAATGACATATAATTTGATTAAAAATAAGAAGATGCAGCCTCAATTTAACATCGACATTGAATGCCTAAAGTAAAATTTTTAGTTAAATGAGAATATTTTAACATTCAAAGTTTGATAATGAAAAATAATAAAGGAAAAATGAGAACCTGAAGATCAAACACAGGATGTTTATAATCTTCATCTGAATCTCCAACATCCCTTATTCATATTTAATGGAACAACATCCCTTTGCTAATGAACTTCAAAAAGAACAAATACACGATTTAAAAAATAAAAAAATGAGTGAAAATATAAATAATTTATGAAAAAAATAGTGAAATTGAACTTACAAACATCAATTTCGTCATCACATTTTTTACGTCAACTACATTGTCATCTTGGTGTCTTCGTTTAGGCTTTTTTGACACCAACCATCATCTTAATCTGCCACATTATAAATAAATCCTCCATATAGTTACTTAGATAGCCTTCTTTGATAGCAAAAAGGAAAGCAAAGTAAATCTTAATTCTTAATTCTACATGTAAAGAGAAATACAAAAAAGAAATATTAAAAAACCCATAAACTCATAAAAAAAAAAAGCTTAAAAGAAAGCTAAACCCAAATATTTGAATTGCAAGATCATCTAATAAAAAAGAGTTGATTGTCCTACCTTCTTGTCCATAAGTTTATTAAAAAGAAACTCAAAGATGTAGTAAAAATAAAATAAAATAAAATTGGGACACATAAAATTTGAAAAAAAAAAGAAAGTAATTAATAAAATTGATCTTGCTTGGAACTATAAAATAGAAACTTCTCAAAGAAAAACAAACGATCAATCTTTTTTTGATCAACCTTCAAAGATTGCTCTTGTTTATTGGAACTTCTCAATTGTTTCACTTTTGCTAAAGCTTCAATTGCTGTTATGTCCTCTTCAATTTTTACTTTTAGAAGCGTAACCAACAAATGTCACTTATTTCCTCTGTTTTTTTCTACTTTTCTTGGCTAGGGAGGGTGATCATCATTATTAGGTTGTTTCGCTTGATCATTCATAGGTAAAAAGTTGGAAAAAGGCAACATCTAAGGTTTTGCTTCTGCTTTCACTTTGATCCAATGAATCCACCAAATAAAGCTTTAAAAGACATTTTTCCAAATTTAACCGTTCAATGTTTTTCTAATACATTGCTGACGTGTGCATAAAATTGGAGTCTCAAGACTCTTTTTATTGTAAGCTAGAATTATAACCTGCACATCACTCTCTGGAGATTTTTCACTCTTTTTACCAAATGATTAATAGAAATTGTATGGTTTAAAAATAATAGTATATTATTGCAAAATCTATACTTTTTTAACTGTGTACCCATTTATGCTTTAAGAAAATTATATGATTATTAAGTATCAAATTTTATAATGTTTTCTAGGAATCAAATGTGGTTAAGCAAAAGGATCAATTTATACTTAAGGTAAACTATATTATTGTAAATATCAAATTTCATAGTTTTATTCCTTAATGAATGCAATGTGATACATAGGAATACTCTAACCACATTCTTTTTCTATAGGACTAAACTAAACCAATTTACAAGTGTGTATATATATATGTATATATATATATATATATATGAAAAGTATGTCTAGATGCCAATAAAAACAATCAAAGAATAGAAAAGAATTTAAAAAAAAAAGTTATAAAGAAATGATGCATACTTTATAGTTGTTATATTCATCCTTAACATTCAATTGGATGTTTTAATGGGATGCGCGCACATTGATTGGTC